GTTATAGCATTAAATTCTTTCTCTACCAAGACACATTTTATTTATTTAAAATCACCTATATTGAAGGCCTTCAAAGATCTTTTTGAACAAAAACACGTACTTTTCACTTAAAAACACCCATGTCAATACCTGCACCAACATCCACACCCGCATCCTTTTATACACTCCTGACTTCATCGAAAATTCATTAAACAATAGCGATTAGTTCGTGTTATGCTTATCGATAACCTTGATATAAACTTTTTGGCCAAACTAGCATGGGTGCCGCGTTTTTTTCATTTATATTCGAACTCGAATTAGGCAGTTAGTCATTTCATGTTTGACATAGGTGTTTTTAAGTGAAAAGTACGTGTTTTTGTTCAAAAAGATCTTTGAAGGCCTTTATACTGGAAAAGCCCTCAGTGATGTGTTGTATTATCAAAATGAATAAAGGTAAATAGGATGAGGCTTTGCATGGCTTTTCAGTATAATTCACCTTCGATATAGGTGATTTTAAATAAATAAAATGTGTCTTGGTAGAGAAAGAATTTAATGCTATAACAGCAATCAGGTATAAGTTTTATTATCCAAATGAATGGATTTTAATGGAATAAGGCTTTGAAAGGCCTTTGAGTAGGTTTCATGTTCGATATAGATTATTTTAAGTGAAAAAAAACCTTTTATTGTAGAATAAGGGCTTCAAAAGCCTTTTATACTGAAAAAGTTTCCTGTTAGGTGTTTTGTTTTTCCAAATGAATGGATAGAAATAGAATAAGGCCTTGAAAGGCCTTTCAGATGATTATCACCCTCGAGTTGGGTTGTATTAATGGAGAAAACGGACTTGTACTAAAGAAGAGCCTGAGAAATGGGTTCATTAGAAAGGCCTTAAAAAGACCATTGTGTTGGAAAGTTCTTGAAATGTCCTTTTCTAGAAAGATCTTGAAAGTGCCTTTAAAGGCGTTTGGTAGAAAGTCCTTTAAAGGGGCTTTTTGTAGCGTTTTTGTCGGTAATTACGAAAATAGTACAATTTCCTGATCAAAATCAATGTTTTGGAACAGAGTAAGAGGTTGGGAAGCATTTTAGGTGGTTAACACAGGTGGTGTAGGTGGTTTGGAAATAGACAAATGAATTTTGTCTGGTAATAGGCCTTTAATACTTTGTAAAGGAAAACGGGGACTGGTAGTGTTCAGGATTAGGGAGCATTCTGTCTATAATTTGTACGATGGCTTACGGCTATGTGCGACCGTAAACGCTGCCGTTTCCTGTTGTATCCAGCTAAATACGGTCGTAATACTGTCGCTACCAAACGGGCGAAATACGTGCCGTAAACGGTCGGAAGTTTATCGTATACGTTTATTTTCGGTCGTTTACAGTCACCTTAATCATCGATCTGGATAGTGATGGTGCCATTATTGAACAGTCCCTAACGCGTAGAAAGCAAGCCGAGTACATTTCTAGAAAGACACACACAAACAGATATATGTTACGCGTGCCACCATCTATATAACGATATGAAACTGCGTCTGATGAACTTATTTCTTCTTGATTGATCCAGTTTTACTTTCGAATAATAATTGGAATCATCTACTGTCAATTTTGCCAGCAAATCAATGGCTAGTTGTGACTGACCACGTCGTTGACACTATTGTGCAATGTTGAAATATCGATGTAGTGTAGCGGAACGATCAAGAAGAAAAAAATCGAAACCTACTCGAGCTATGTTCATATAGCACTCTAAAGCCAGATTCCACATTTTTCTTGTTCGAAAACTTCGACCGAGGCAATCATAAATAAGAAATTCAATATTAAGTGAATCATGCAACCCTTTCGATGATTTGTAAATTTGTAATGCTTCATCTTGATGTGCCCACGCTAAATCAAGCTCTTGTGTTTTACTGGTAACGTAACCTAAACCTGCATGACAGATAAGCGGTGATAATTGATATAATAGTGTATAGTATTTTTTCACAGAATCAAAATTATTTTTTGTGTATTTTTGAAGTAGATATCCAACTTTAATAAATTGAGCATATATTGAGGTTGCATTACCGATACGATCGTATTCACTCGTAAAATATCCGCCACTACAGAAATCTTGTGCCTCCTTGTCACTGATCAGTTGTAGTTGAACAATTGAAACATGTTGAACTTTGTCATATTGAACATCCCCGTATTTATGAAATATGGTACCAACGGTAAACAGTGTTTCATTTTCATCCGGCACCGAACTTAAATGTTGAGTATTCGCATATACTTTTCTGGTTTTTTCTTTATCAATTTTCAGTTCAAATAGCACAGATTGTTTTCTCTCATCACTATCAGTTTGTCCTGTTCCCGCAAAAATATTAAGGGCCAAATCACGATCTTGTGTAGTCGAAAAAAAACTATTTACATATATACAAAATGATCGTAGCGCGCTTTCTTCAATGTTTCGACTTCTTCTTTTGACATAATTGCCCTCAATAAAGTTCAGTCGGTTCGCTGTCCAGCTGTTTTTCATATTCTTGTTTAAGCTGATTATGTAAATCGACTATAAAAAAGTGTAATAGCAGAATTATTTCAATATCTTGATGACGAAACACTTTATTCAATACCCGATATAGAAATGTGTCTTTTGTATACCATAATATTGCGCAATCAAAACTATAAGTTTCGTTAAATGTATTCAAAGTTTTTTCGGTAGCTGTGCTCCCTTTGTAATAACTTTTAAATTTAGCAACACATAATTCCTTGGCATTGTGAACAGGCTTCATTTCTAGAAGAGCATCAATGAATAGTGGAAACCACAACCACTCAGTCGTATATCGATGAATTTAATTCGTTGTTTTTTCTTCTGGCACGCGTTCAAAAATTGTCATAGGAAAATAGTTTGAATTTCTAACATCATCGGATAACTGTCGAAAAATGTTCTTCCATATTTTGAATACACCTTTAATCTAGAATTTAAATAAAGTTATTTTCAAGAATGAAACTCCGTATCAACTACTTTTACTTTGGTTTGTGTCGAGGACCACTGAAATGGTAAATAATTATCATATGGATTGTAAATGTAAATTGCTCGTACTTGATGTAGATCGTATATATCGGAGATTATATTTTCAGTTAATTCTACTGATACAATGAGAAAAACGCTTTCATACTCAATCATTTTAATATAATTTTTGCACGATTTTGGATCATCAAACGATCGAAAATAATCAATAATCGAATGTAGTTGTATTCGATCAGAATTTTTGATGCAATCAAGACCTAACCAGATGACAGTGAACTGTTCCTTATTTTCTGACCGATGATCAGAAAGCATTGGCGACAATTCAATATTTTCAAACAACGGTAGTAGAAACGAGGGACATGATAATAATTGTCGACGACGTCTACGTATAAAAAGAACAGGAACTACTCCCATAAGCAATACACCAATTATTGAACAAACAACAATAATGGCAATGTTTATACTGCTACTCTTAACCTTATCAGAGATTGTGGTGATGTTCGCCAGTATTAGAGAAGCCGTTGGTATAGTGGATTGGAATTTTGTTATAGCTAGAGTAGTACCACTAGAATTATCATGTATTCTTTTAGCTTTTAAATTACAATTAGATGTATCCAATCTGGCTAATGTAATTATGTTACTATTGTCATTGATGGTTAAATATATCAGTGTCAATCCGTACAATCTTCCGAAAACTTCAGTAAGATCACTCGGATACGATGTCCATAGATTTAAAGTTTCTTTTTCATAATCTCTACCACGCAAATTTGAAATAAATCCTATTGATGTATCATTACTAATGACAGATAATAGTCCATGGAGACAACAACATTGTGTTTGATTACATTCATCATCGGACCATTGATAGTTGCCTGACCATTCATATTGTTGTCCAAATATTTCTGATGAATCAGTGGTAAATACAATTATGAAGAGTAAAACTCTGTATTGTTGCATTGCTTTAGCAAGAATTTCTTACTACAAAAACATTTCTACGTTAATCAAAACCGATATGATTCAAAAGTATGTTTTCCTAGTCATATTATTTCCATATCATTCTTCTGGCTCATTAAAAAAATTATATGTTTTTTGCAACTGCCTCTTAGTCAGGATGTGATGTAAAAGAGAAGAAGTTTTGTTTTTCTGCTTTGTAGCAAAATACTATTGAAGAAAAAAAAAACTTTTGATACTATATTTCACGTTAATGTTTCGTTAATCTAAAACAAAGAACCAACTCAGTACAGGAGCAAATGTCAACACTGGAACATGGTAATAATCAGATAAAAACTTCGGTTTTTCACCGAAACACACATTACAAATTATACAGGTAAGGTTCGTGAAGATGGTTTAACGATATCATATTTAAAAACAACTGCAATCAAATAGAATAGTATCAAGTTTCCAGAAAAGAGAAGCTTGCGATGGATGATGGACGGTTTTCTACTGTTAAATCACTGATAAATATCAAAGGTAGCCTTTAAGATAGTATCTTGTGAATCATATCCATCAAATGTTTTGCCATTCATCCTGCATCGCTGTTGTACTACTAATGTAAAGGGTTTGACACATTAGAAGTGTCACATCTCTGTGTCTGTAAAAGTTATAATGTGAAACGAACATGAAGTTTTTTGGGGCACGCAATATATATAAAACCCCCTAAAATGTTTAAAACTCAGGGCAGATTAGAAGACGCGGATCTCGTATTGTGGCAATCCCTTTATTCGATAATCATTAACACTACAATTACTAGAGATTCTTCCTTCCCTTTCTTCTAAGTACATGTTCTCCTGTCTTCTAAATGTTTACTCTGCTTTCTTTGTTTTCAATGTTGTTTTCATTTTGATCGCAGTGTATTAAGATGAAAGCAAAGGAACAGTTGATTAATATTCTCCTATTGATAACACTTGATTGAATGTATAGTTGTAAGACGTCCTGTACTCAATATAATTTCCGTAGTCTAATGAGATTTTAAAAACTTTTTCTTACAAACTGGAGACAAGAGCAAGGCTTATAAGCTGATATTAACAACAAAATTTATTACGGTCATGATAAATAACTAAAAATGCGGTAAGAAGTGTAACATCAAAGTTTTTGATCTCTACTGAAAGTGGCAGATGGGTTCGTCATTGTTATGAGAACATAGAAACTACTATCGAAATTAAAGACCATCAGCTTACGGAACTTATTTTTCATCCATTAGGCCACCAAACCTAAATAGAAAATGAAATAAATTGTCTTATTTATCGTTATAATTCGGTTTATGTTCTCGCTAATCTACTATCAATGTCAGTAAATAAAGTTCATATTGATTAAAATAAATGTTTTATTTGAAAGAGAATTATATGAGATTATTAACTCATTGCAAAGAAAAAGAAAAGAGCTAATCAAAACACAAGAGATATAGGAGAAGGAGAAACAACACAATTATTAAAATTTACATACCATCTCCAACTGATGCACTTCTGCTCCTTTCAGTACCCAGGCCGATGATTCCGGTGACTTTAAACGACCGTTTACGAAGACGTAAACAATTGTATACGATAAAATTCCGACCGTAAACGGCCCGTATTTCGTCCATTTGTCAGTGATAGTAATACGGCCGTATTACGACCGAATTTAGCTGGATACGACAGGAAACGTCGACGTTTACGGTCGTAGGTGTGGATGTGGATGTGGCTGTGGGTGAGAGTGTGGGTGTCGATAAGTAGAAGACCACACTCGCATCAATCCACACCCCACACCCACACACACCCTAGTTTTAATCATCCACGATCAAAATGAATTTCATTCTCGATTCAATTAATAAAATGAAATTCTACAGCTACACTACTTGACATAATCATATAATTCACTCGTGTATTTTTCTCTGAATGTTAGGTTGCATTATTACAAAAGATTAATTTTTCGAAAGATATGAAATCAAGAGATTTTTGTGTAACAATACAATATCGAACAGACGATTTTTATAATTATTTCTCTCAAACACGTCAGAAGCGTGACACAAGGCAAGAACTTCTGTGTGTTGCTGTAACTATGGCTAACATTTATTCTGATGAAGATTGGAATTTTGTTTATGGACTAGCATAGCCAATAGATGGTTTTGATGTCTATCCATTTGCACGTCTTGATCCATTATTTCTAGAATTGCCAGAAGCATTACTCACTATTCCATTAGCTAATGAACACCGTATGGTAATGGTGTGTGTGTATTTCAATTTTTAGAGGCTTTTCTGTTTTTTTTTAAAAATCTATCACTATAAAAACATCGTCGAAATATGTTAAGAACAACAATTCTATACGTAACTGAAAAAGTCCTATTCAATCGTGATAACGCATTTAATTTGTATTGTTTACATGCGCAAAGAATAATTTTTCATTATGAAGATGTTCGATTTGAACAAATAAATAATCTACTTGCAAGGAGTTCAAATCTATTTTATATCAATGTTAAAATTTATCCATTAAATCCAATAAATGATATATTTTCAATGATATTTGTCGTATACATACATTAAAATATATCAATGAAAAAATGAACGAGTATCTCATGGTAAAAAAGTAGTTCATGTAATACCTGCAAGATTAAAATATGAAGTATATTGATGCTACTGACATTGAAAAAGAGGAAATTCACCAACATATATTCCAGTTTGTGGAGGTATCTATCATGTTCTGTGATAGATCATTGAGAAGGTGTCTGTGAGGAATGCAAATTTTCACTGCTATACTTCAAGTCTTCTTCTAGGCTATGTACAACACAAAATATAAATGGCTGATGTGTCATTATGACGTAGTGATTTTTTGGTCAAAGAAAGCAAACGGACAAGAACAAGAAACAGAAATCAAAGAAAGTTGTTTCTGGATGATTTTCAACTATGTACTGATAACATTCCTTAATTAAACAATGATCAGAATATGGTTCAAATATACTTTATATTTAGCACTATGCTTGATGAACATCTTTATGCAGAAAATGAAATCGTGATTAGACGTACGAGGAAGTGCTTAATGTAAATATTTCAGAGCCCATTTTCTAATTTAAAAACATCAAATAGGCTTTTGATATATTTGTTTTTTTTTCGACAAAATAAAAGAAACACTTTTGCATAAGACAATTATAAGTTGGTAAAAGTGAAAATGTTTCAAGAAATCATTTTTCGTTTACTTAAGAGTTAAATATGAATATTGCATGGCGATTGTTAATTTATTAAATGAATATGATCCATATCGAATGTAAACAACAAAAAATGAAAGTTGATACGAATCAAGATCTTATAGATTAATTAACTGTTCAAATATTACTTTCAAGTTCATATCTTCGTCAATTAATTATTACTTTTTCTGGTCTTACAGAGGTAAATTAAACATAAATAACATGTCGTCTTTTTAGTTATTCTATGGAAATAAAACAATCGAAGAAAAAAATCTTATTAAACAAACTGATATATCAAAATTAAGTGATCTTATGCAAGTAAATACTTTTTGATGATTTTATTCAAGAGTAAACTTTTTTCTCTGTGAAAGAAAACTTAAACAAAATTATCAAGTAACTCGGAAGAATTAACTGATAAATTGTTACTTAATCTACTTCAAAGTCGTATTTATTTTTCTATGCTTCGACTTGGTTCTAATTATTCTGCTCATGTTTACTAAAAAAAATGTCACTTTTAAATATTTATATTTAATATGGGGCCATCAGTATCATACAGTGAACGTCATAACATATATAGAGATATGTGTTGTCGTATTTTTTTTCTTCTTTCTTTTTAAGGTGCAAGTCACTTAGTGACTAGTGAGTGTAGGAGATAGAAATCAATTGAGCCATTTGTCGATCTATAGTAATAAGGACGATATCAACAAACAAGATTGATTCAGATATTGTCTTTGAAATGTTTTCTTTCATGCTAGTTAAATACCCAGTATTTGAACATCGTAGCTCTATTTCTGATTTCATTTATCTAATGAGAATTCAAGTAACTCTCGAAACTGAAGTGTATATTCATTTTAATAAAGAATTAGCTAAAGAAGGTACAAATATTGTCCTTTCAACATTTTTGTTGCTTATATATAGAATTTGTCTACTGACATAGATTCGTATTTCTAACCTTAAAAATTAAGATAATTTAAGATTTTAGATTGGTGATGCTATAAATATTCGTCGTGAGTATGTGAATGTAGTTGTGGGTGTGGGTACCTTTTCTCTTCAAATTCACATCCCACACCCTTTCACATTCATTTAGTCCGTCTATAAATTGTGTTTATCATTTTCACATCTGTGAACATATCATAGGTAGCTTATCGTACGACTTGTATTACTTATACATTTTTAATGTACTTAATCAACATTCTATTCAAAGCTTCATGTGATTGTTCTAATGCGTCTCCGCTTGATACATGTAATACTGGTGCATAAAACATAGATGCTAGGATTGATTCAAGTATTATAACTGATTCAGTTCATTGTTTTTCATTGTCAACACATGAATTAGAATTAATTCATCAATCGGTTATTTATAAAAAAAAATGTTATGTAAGTAAAAGAAGAAAAAAAAATTTGAATTAACCATGAAAGTTCAACACATTCATTCAGCAATAGGAGAACACAAAACGAAAAGAAAAAATTGAAAAATAAAACTTCTCTGACCTATCTGTTGCATTTATTTTGTTTATAATTAAATACATGAATAAAGATTAGTTTAATCTCAAACAGAAAGAATTGTCATCGAATAACACTGTTGCATGTAATATGATATGTGTTGGATACTTGTTTAAATATTGATACAGAGAAATGAGAAAATAACATAAGTATGAGTCTGCTCTGCATCGTCTGTTTATTATCAATTCCTATTCAAATACTTGGTAATATTAAAGAAACTATAGTTGAAAATCCATTTTATCTTCGTGCTCGTATGCATGATTCTCAAACGGCTAATGTTCAATTTGAAATAGCATTAAATATTAATCAGCGATCATGTCAAATGTAT